TCTCTCTCTCTCTCTCTCTCTCTCTCTCTCTCTCTCTCTCTCTCTCTCTCTTTTATGCTCGGAGCGGACAATGGCCCGGTACAAACGCGGTGCGCACCAGTGGCTGGCGGCGAGGTTAAAATCGAATGTGTGTCACGTTCACCGGCCGCGTCGATTAGTAATCGGAGCGCGCGAGAGGCAATTACACTTGAAAAAGTCAATGTTACGCTGGAAGGTTTCGTACGGGTTGCGTAACCCCTGTCTGTTCCGGGTCTGTTCCGCCCGGACCCGGTTGCGTCGGTTTCTTTCAACACTTCAATTCGCGGAATCATCTTTTTCGTGAGTAATCTATGCATTAATCGGCTCTTTGTTCGGAATTTTAATTCGAATTTTGTGAGCGCCGTGACATCACGGATGGAGATGATGCATTATGATTTTCGTTATCTCTTTTTCAAGAGAACTTTTTTCAAGAGTTTAAAGATCGGATTACGATGAAACTGTAGATATTGAATTATTTATCGAAAGATAAATTCCGGGATTATCGAGTTGTCGTTTTAATTAAATCGATTTTCTCGTATTTAAAACTTTTTTTTTTTTTTTTGCAATCTTTGTAACAATTTATCTACGATATCACCACAATATCTCGTTATCATCTTATCTCCATAAAAATCTCTAATCTCCTTTGCACATTGTTGTCCGCAATTGTTACAACGTAGTATCTTCATCCAATTTTATAATCTCTAATAGAAAAATTTTCTTCAAATAACCAATTCAAAAAATGGCCAACCAAGAACTATAATCAATTCCTCAAGAAACATTCTGAAAAATAATCCTGCCTCAAAGAACGATCGCAGGGAGAGAGAAAGAGAGAGAGAGAGAGAGAACACCATAACTCACCATAGCGTTGCCTATGATCGCGCGTTCGAATGTACTCGCGACAATGGTGGAGATTGACGCGATGTCGCGATAGGTGGCGCACAATACCCCTTCCTTATCCGGCGTTATACGCGTAATTTACCAAGGTTATTTACTATACAATTAGATATCCCTTGCCATGTATTACGCGGATATATACGCGGGTTCTCGCAGGTTGCATGGTAATGGTCCCGCGAGTCAGTCCCATCACCGGTCCACAGAAATCGCGGAGTTTTTTTCCTCCGCCGACTTGGCGGCATAATATACGATATACACACGGTGTAACGAGGTATGTAATGGGTAATAATGCGTAATGATATAATGCGTACATTCCGCGACGTGCGTCTCTGCGTATAACAAACATTGTTAGCCGTGGACGGGCCCCGGCTGACCGTAAAAGGGCCCCGTGTGGTCCCACCGCTGCCATTCCTTGCCCCTTGATCACGCCCTCCATCTAGTTCTCGCGATACTTCTGTATATTCTCTTTGGGATAGGGCACGCGCGCAAACTCACGAATATCCTTTCTTTCTTTTCCTTCTTCCTTTGTGTGTATCTTGTATGTCTTTTGTTATTGGCTTGTTCGGAAAGTAATTTCGTTTTTTTTTTTTTTTTTCTTTTCTTTTTTCAATGAAACATCGAATCGTTTCACGTTTCGTGAGATCACTAGAATTGGAGAAATTCAATCTCGTGGCAGTTTCTCGAGTCGGTTATTTCGTCGTCGTCGGTTTGCTTCGATCGGTGCCTTTTGTCTTTTTTGTCTTCATCAAGTTCAACCGGTCTTCCAGAAATGTGTCCTCCGTGGTATATTTTTAATGTCGAAGTTTTGAAAACCAGTTTTGATACTGATGTTTTTACCTTTTCGGTGATAAAAGAGTAAAATAGGTAAAAATGCTTCTTTTGGTCTTTTTTATCACGCGCAAAAAACACTGAATCAAACGAATTTTTCTTTTATAAATAAACCACGAAATGCCAACTCTCAAAATATAATAATTAACAATACGGTTTAGAATGAAGTTGGCTAAAACATTCGAGTAACGACGCTCGCGTGAAAAAACGAAACGAATTTTGCGCGTATGATCGATAGAGATGCAAAATATACATTATGCGAAAATCGTGATACGAGGATGGTAGATAAAGAAAATTGGTGGGATATTTGTAAAGGAACGTATTAGAAAAAACACAGAATCAAACGAATTTTTCTTATATAAATAAACCACGAAATGCCAACTATCAAAATATAATAATTAACAATACGGTTTAGAATGAAGTTGGCTGGATAAAACATTCGACTAGCGACGCTCGCGTGAAGAAATGAAATTACTTTCCGAACAACTTATATATATATATATATATTGCGTGTGTATATTTTGCGCGTATGGATCGATAAAAATGCAAAATATACATTATGCGAAAATCGTGATACGAGGATGGTAGATAAAGAAAATTGGTGGGATATTTATAAAGGAACGTACTAGAAAAAATACCGAATCAAACGAATTTTTCTTATATAAATAAACAACGAAATGCCAACTATCAAAATATAATAATAACAACACGGTTTAGAATGAAGTTGACTGGATAAAACATTCGACTAGCGACGTTCGCGTGAAGAAACGAAATTACTTTCCGAACAACTCATATATATATATATACTGCGTGTGTATATTTTGCGCGTATGGATCGATAAAAATGCAAAATATACATTATGCGAAAATCGTGATACGAGGATGGTAGATAAAGAAAATTGGTGGGATATTTGTAAAGGAACGTACTAGAAAAAATACCGAATCAAACAAATTTTTCTTATATAAATAAACAACGAAATGCCAACTCTCAAAATATAATAATTAACAACACGATTTACAATGAAGTTGGCTGGATAAAACATTCGACTAGCGACGCTCGCGTGAAGAAACGAAAT